CCATGGTAACCTGGAAATATCTTTTGCATGTAAAATATGATGGAGACTTCCTGGTGGCTTGAGTGAAGCTCTTCCAATGAAAAATTTATATCCTCCGTGAAGTATGGAGTTAAAATGCTGTACCAAAGTTCATTTTCTGAGAAACAAATAAGATATCAACTCTCTTATATAAGAGATTGCTTTTGATCAATTGCACACGTCTTAAAGAACAATCCATCAATAACGAAAAGGTAAAGTGTGAAGTTCCCAACTATGTACCGGAAAATGCTTTACTATGCAAGTATCTCAGCGTCCTCTAGTTCAGGTTTTGGAACTGTTTTTCAATTGACAAAGTTATCTCATCATCCTCGCCCTCCCTCCCCACAATAAACCAATCAACATACTTTCAATGTTACAAGAAATATTAGAAGGTGTGTGAAAATTAAAAGACAGTACAGAAATAATTCCCATAAAACTAGGGTGATCAGAGTGAGATTCTTTCTTCAAACTATCTAACCTAGAACGAACGTCAATGTCAATTACAATTTATAAGAGAGGAAAAATTACTTTCTACTGATAAACTTCAATATTTCCCTGAGCATTATTTCGCTCATGCCTTGGCAGCAAGAATTCCTACTGCCAATACATGTGGCCCAACAGCCATTTCAACATTCATGTATTGATTTTCTAAAATAAACTAATAGGAAACTTGATATTAAATATTTTTTATTAAAAAATTTGGTATAGAAAGTTCAACTTCAAATGCATGCACAATTTACTTTATAAAAATTTGTAGGCCTGTAACATGATTAAATATTTGAAATATACCCATTCTTTTAAAAAACCATTTTAATATAAGATAAAATGAATAACGACATATCATGTGCAAGTTAAAAAACTAATAGCAACTAATACATTGATGCAGTAAATAGAATATCCTTTTTTCTCTAAACAAACAATATTACTTGGGTTTCATGGACTAACATATAAATAGGAGAGAACTAACCTGAATGACATCATATTGCTTACTTTAGGGGCTTTGGGTACATTCATAAACATTGACGTTGCAAAGAATGAAATGCGCTTTCGAGCGTCCAAGTTTACAGGGATGTCCAATGCACTGTCTTTGACAGTGAGCAACAATTGAAAACGCTTGATCTGCAACAAGACAACTTCATATCAAAATAGCATTTACATGGAAGTTGACCCATGAAACTTTATAAAAAAAAAATCATTCATGTTGCTGATCAATTTATAGCATGATTTTTAGGACTGACCAAGGAAAGTTTATAAACTTCACCTGTTCTATGAGAGAGTCATCATCTTCTGGCAATGGGAAATGAATAGATTCCTTGCTAGGCGAGGATTCAAATAGTTGTGGTTCTATATGTCTAGAAAAATCAATGAAGTCGTGCTCTATTTGCTCAGAAGCATAGACCAGATCTAGTACTCTGCGTTCACCAAATATGGAAGATTGGACGACAGTAGAACATTTGGTAGAATCTGAAGAGAAATTTTGATGAGGAAACAAACCTGCAGCCATCGGTCATCATTTCACTGGTTACAAGCTCAAATATATCTTGGAGAACTCTTATAACTCTTTCCCGAGTCATCTTATTCCCTTGAATCTAGAAAACAGTTAACTGCATCAGTGGGGGTTTTTTATTCAAAAAGTTCTACAAGAACATCGTAATTTTGTTTTCATGGTAGAATTACCAGAAGTTCTAGTAACTCGATACATTTATCATGTAGAGCTGGAAGCTCACTCATCTTGAAGTCTTCAAGAAGACTAGATCTTTTGATGCTTTCTTCAATTTCATTTATCAGAGCAGATATGACCCTAGAATATTAATAAGATAAACACCAGAAGTCACACCAATGAAAGAGCTATAAATGAATGATTTCTTCTCTTTTTTGAAAACAAAGGTAAAAAGAAAGCTTTCTTCTCCACCTCTTCTCCAGATCTCCCACGATAAGGATTTCAAGGATGTACTTCAAAGACTCGTAGCATTCTTTTACAGCTGAATACATGTACTCATCTTTTTTAATCTTTTTAATCAGATTGGCATCCTTCCCAACAAATTCTTTTGCAATGCTCAAAGCTGTTACAAACTACATGAACAGTATAACATGCTTAGTCTTGAAAAACAACATATAAACATGAAATAAAAATTGAACATCGATCAATTACCTTGTTTTTATGCTTAGTCTTGAAAAACAACATATAAACATGGAAATAAAAATTGAACATCAATCAATTACCTTGTTTGCTAGGAGAAAAACGGGCCAGCGAACTATACCAGAAAACAATTCTGACGACACTGGCATTGTCATCAAATCCAACTCCCTGAAGATAAAAATTTCAGTGATACTAAAAAGCTATAGAAATTATCCAAGCTTCTTTTGAACTGATGCATCAAAAACTTTTTACTTTGCTTTTTATCACAAATAATCCAAGCTATAGAAATTTATGTTTGTAAGCTCCTTTGTTAGGTTTGACCTGTGTTTTAATATACTTCTTTTCCAGAAAACAGTTCTACTGATTTAACCTGTGTTCCTTTGAAATTAAATTTATGTTTGGATGCTCCTTGTTTCCTCTTCTACTTTTTTTCCTCTTAATGAAAATGGTTTTCCTATGAGGGGATGGTTACATTTATTGGAGTTAATGTGTTTGATTCACGTGTTCCTCAGTAGAAATATCCATGGTTACGCTATACATCAAAATCCGTATGTTGGTTTTTGCACCAAAACTAGATTTTTACTTCTATGTTGTGGAAAGAAATGCATTTTTCATCCTAATCTGGTCCATCACATGCGGAGGGTTTCATAGTACATTGATTGCATATTTTAGATCACCMTTGTGTTCAGTCATCTGTATTGAACTTCTGCAAGTTTTTCTATTGATTTTTGGCCCATTCTGAAAACCTTGCACTATGTTTGAAGTGGACATGGACGATTTAATTCAGTGACCATATCACTAGCACTTTAGCCAATTACCAAAAAATTAATAAATTAAGTAGGATCACCTGTTGCTTACTAAGTCTTCATGTCGAAAACTCTTGATGATTTGGTTCCATACAACAACAAACTTGGAAAGACCATGATGTTTGTTTTCAGAAGCCTGAGACAAACAATTGAAAGGTAAAATTTGGGGGAAAAAATAGTCATAGAACATTGATCTTAGCAAGGTGAATATCAAGGCTGCAGACCTGAAACCTATTGAAGAAGAAACCTTTTCTTTTCTTTTGATCACTTCTCAACAAAGGTGGGCAAAGGCAAGCATTGAATGCATAAGGCAAGGTATGGAATCTACTTCTCAGCATTCCTAATGTTCGAATCTGCAAATCACTGTATGAGACCACCATAATTTTCCTTCATAATGGATCAAGAAATATCTTACCTCACCAAGATGATGCAAAATCCCATATAGACCACCAAAGATCGTACAGAACACAGAATACCATATTTGAGAATCCATAAAATATACCTGAGCAGAGTATGAAAGAGTAAAAATATTAGTTACTAAACATACAACTATCCATACAGTAAATCATTCTCCCTCCCTCTCTCCCTCCTCCCTCTCCCTCCTCCCTCCATTAAATACTTATTATGTCCAAGTACTCTGTTACGTAAAAATAGAAACAACTACAACGCTCGTAAATTTGCGTAAGAGACAACAGCAGATATTTTAAGCAAAACTCACAACTATTATAGGAGCCCATATAGCCACAATCGCACCCGCATTACTCCTAACTGCAAGACAATAATTTAGCAGATAAGTGAAACAACGAACACATTACCTGAAGGGGAAAATAATTGTGATTGATAACAGTCATTTCAATATTGGTACCAGTCTAGGAATGAAACCCCCATGAGCATCACCAAAAGATCAGTTTATTGTTGCAAATTAAAAAATAATAATAATAAAACAGAGTTAACTATGTTCTAGAAGAAATTAACATTTGTATAACATACCTTTTTTTTTCTTTTTGATATCCATGAGTTTGTGGACTAGCTTACGATTACTCTCATTGGACAACTACATGACTCTATTATATTTGGATGCAAAGAAAACTTGTAGGATATTAAATCTAAGATAGGTGGCCACCACTAACACCAATGATCACTAGGCCAACCCATGGTGATTATAACCTCCTTGATAAAAGCATAAATATTTGGTTTGTTACATCAATAAAAGTTTTACTAAAATTTTTTAAATATCCATTCTCAAGAAACAATTCTTGAATTTACTTGAAGTTGAAACTAATATCAAACACTAATGAAATAATTAACCTAGAATCAAATACAAAATACCAGAGATAGTCCATTATTGAAAAGGCCCGTTTAAGAGGTCCAAAATCTACCTCAAAATGGAACACGTTTCCCAATGGATATCAAGAAAATAATAGCAGTTCAATTTGAACTCTAACACCTAAAAAAAAATCGTGAATACCTTTTGGGAAAAGCTCATGCCAGTCATATTTCTTCACACCAATTTTCATTATTCTCTTTGTTGGCTCTACGAGTGGTTTAATCTGCATATGCACAGTGCATAAAATAAAAACCATATTCTGATCCTTTAGTAAAGTTCATGGCAAGTAAGATTGTTCTTTACTTCAAGCATGCAACAGTTATGATATAGATTCGAACTTAAAACAAAATTACAGTTAATACATTAAAAACTAATAAAAGTATTATTTACATGATGCACTAGATATCTTCACCTGTATGGGAATATATGTTATATTCTAGTTTACTCCATCAAACTTACATCAAAATCTCACATTATTCTCACTCATTACATGAGTTCACTCCAGACGCTGCTTAAATGTAGAGAGAGACTTCAGGGAGTAAGAATTAGTTATTCTATGTTTAGTTACCAAATGCAAAGAAAAGCGCAGCATGGTACTACTTACCTCAAAATAGTAACTGAAGGAAAATTTGCTTAATAGTACAAGTACCCAAAATAGTGTATACCTACATAATAAGAGAAATAAACCTTAGGACAAATGTAACTAGGAAAAATACAGCAATTAAAATGAAAGTAAAAGATTTAGAATATACTTCAGCATCGATACTTGGCTTTCCTGCATTCCACGCCCAACATATAATTGAGGCTGAAAAGTGAAAACGAACGTTGGATGGAACAACAAAACCCACAAAACTTTTGTATTAAATGAACACAGGAAATGAACCATAACATGAATATTGCAAGAAACCATGACAGAAGATGTCATTGGAACAAAATATTTCTATAAATCATTGATAACATGTCTGGTTCCATAGAGGAGAAGACCAGTTACAGGTTTCCAGTTTTTAAGATGCTTTACGAGAGGGGAAATAATATTTTTAAATTGGGGGGAAAGAGATCAATTAAGGATGTCAGGTTGAGATTGTCAATGGGACGTACATGGAACATCACCACTTAGATTTTTACTCTTTGAACTGCTCACATTTTTCAACTTACCAAAAATTTCTTCCATTTTGGATAAACTAGTATAAGATTAAAGGGATCCCCAAACTGAAAGGAAACAATATTATGCCAAAATGCACAAAAAAAAAGAAGGTGAAAGTTTCTTTAACAATCTGAGGAGTAACGGATGTTGGGAGCCCTTCCCACAATGGTATGATATTGTCAATATCCGCTTTGGGCATAACTCTCACGGCTTTGATTTTAGTTTCACCCAAAAAGCCTCATACCAATGGAGACGTTATCTCTCACATATGTTTCCCCAGTCAATGTGGGACTTTGTTGCACTTCTTACAAACCTAACAAAGGAATAGACGCCCTCCAAAACTAAAATTCAGAAGCACATTTACACCATGCAGCACAAAATCCGATATTTTAGTAATACCAGTAGGAATTTTATTTAAAAGGATTAAATATTAATGTTTTGAAGCCCATAAGGAAACCATCAAATGCTATCTCCTCTCCAACTCTAAACTTCATCCGAGTAATCTTGATGAATGGTGACCATGTGAGAAATCTTGATATATCATTCCTAGTTTAGTGGGTATGAAGCCAGAGGGTAAACAATTTCCAACTTGCACACCAAATTATTTGGTATTTTCTTACTTTTATAATTGTGTTGTGTATATATAAAAGAGATTGTCAGGATCAGGCTTTAAATCCAAACAACGTGAAGCGCACAATAAGGAGAATATATTACCATAAACAGGATCTTTAATAGCAAGAAACTTTGTAAGTGGTTTATTTCAACCATTTAGAACTTACCTCTGTCCAATAGGACAAAACAGTGCATATACGGCCATTTGAAGTCTCAATATACCTGCCAACTGCCGGAACAAGAAATAAAACCAGATCAACTGCATTGCTGACTAGGTAAATTGCAACAGCAACCATGTAGGAAGAGAAACACCATTCTCCAACCCAACTCCCTTTCTTCGTTGTGTAACATGTATATTTACTCCTATAATATGAATAGCAAACTGGAAGAACAATGGTCCATATTACTGCTACACCAAGCTTCATCAGATATTTCCTTTTCTGAGACAACCCCATAGTCCGCCTGGCCTTCCACGTAAATGTAATCTCAAGAATTGCTGCAAGCCAGATCTCATTTAGATTTATTACCAGACAAATGGATTCACTTTATTTCTACGTGAAAATTTACAGCAACAATTAAGAGATTTCTTTTTCACGTAACTCTTATTAATATTTTTCCATAACAGATACAGAAAAATTTGTGGTAAAAAAAAAAGATATACAGAAAGAGACAGAGCGAAATTTACATTAATAAAGTGTTGAGGGGATTCGAGTCACAAGAGACCGTTAAATATTTTTTAAAACATTATTGAAAACTGAAAAGTGGCCATGGAGTACACATCTAGACCAAGATATTTAACACCACCACAATCAAGACTGCCTAGTTTCTTCGTAAGTCAAAAGGTCTTCTTTCTTAAGAAGTTCCTCGTGACTCCAAAACAGATTCCCCTCTATTTAAAATTTTTAAATTTGCCCTCTTTTCATTATGAAATAGTGATTGGAAAAAGGAAGTCGCATGATTAACAATCTCATTCTCAGTTAAACTTCCACCTTCAGAAACTAATTCATTTGTCCACTTCTTTATTTTCCTTGCCACTGGATACTGTATAGAGAACATAGTGACTTTGAATCAAAATCAGAAGCAACAGATGAGAAATGACAAATACCTTGCAGCAATTTAAGTACTGAAGATGTAACAAAAACGCTAGAGACATCCTCAAATATGACTGCATCAAATAATTGAAGTGGAGTTTCCAATTCATTGAATGCCATAATTATCATTGCCTGCGATGCAAAAGGTGAGCATGAACAGAGAAGAACCACAGTAAAAGACAGAAAATTAGCCAATTACTCACACAAGGTTTTCAACCCACCTGCAGGGACAGAATATAGAAGCTCCACATTCTTCTGAAACTCCTAAAGATCTGTAAAAATGAACGAACCTCTACAAAATTGCTTTTTCCTAACCACTTCCGCTCACCAACTTCACCCTTTGAAGCCTGCAAAAGAAACATGTAGACATGAATGGAGGTAGTGTTCTAACAAACAGTACTCGCCTGGTAAACCCTTCCACTCCAGTCCGAGTAATCCATATCTCATATATGCTAAATATCTAGTTAGGCATCTTCCAAGTTAAAAGCTCAATGTAGGGAAAGTCTACTAACAAAAGTATGAGCAACTATTTCAGATGTTAAACCTCAAATTTCCAGACAGAAATCCGGAAAAGGTTGATGGCAAAGCCAGAATAATACCATCCTTTAATATGAAACAGATGATTCTAAAGCAACTTTGATCCTCTTATTAAAGGTTATGCTAGCAATTGAATCCAGGAAATGCTGAAAATATATAAATGCACTGCGGCCTATAAGTAATTGCAGAAAATTATTTAGCTTACCACTGGTTCAGCATCTTCATTTCCTTCCGTCTTTCTTTCTTCCACTTTTTTATGATAGAAAAAGGGAAACTTCGGATTTTTTTTATTTAAATCTTTTACACAAAAGAAATCGTGGTCCAAACGCAGGGGCCAGCCTAATTCAAAGCAATCAGGTGACCTGAAGAAATACAAGAGTAAAAATTAAAGGCAACAAAAGTAGTAAACAGAAACATAATTGAATTTATTACTGACCAGAAATATTCATTCAAATCATCGTAGTTTCTCCATGTAGAGTAGTTGGCTGACCCATTTTTGCTTTTCTCAGCTTCCTTCAAATTTTAACGGTATTAGTTTGCTAGGAAACATAATCACTCAAACGTAGAGTGCAATGAAGAAGTACCTCTTTTATGACCGTGTAAATAGGGGTAACTACATTTTTAAGGAAAGACTCTGTTCCTCCACCATATGCTGGCATGACCTTCTCCCATGTCGTCAAGCTTACGGCACCGGTCAACATGCCGTGCAACTCATATGCCATCTGAAGGAATACAGGGTAGAAAATTGTAAGAGACTTATTTGATTGCTAGCATGACAGTTCTCGCAAACTACTAGGAAGTAGAAAGTAAACTTCTGATGGAATAAACATCACTAGGTTAACCCATATAACAAAACTGATACATGCACAAGTAGTCACCAGAGTACTCTAAATATAATTAGTTGGATAGAATGTAACTCAAAAACAAGTAAAATGATACCTTAAACTCCAAACAGGAGAGGATCAGTTATTTAACTTACATGGTGAAAAATATAACAGAGACATTCCGGCATGAATCTCAAGTTTGCAGCCTCGCCCCATATAAGCAGGTAAAGCCCAATGTACAGAAGTTTGTACTGCTGACCTTCCTGTTTCACATAAGGCAACCTTCATGGACAAGTAAGATTCTTTTTAGCGTATAAAAAATCCAAGCACTCTAACCAACAAATCAATAGTAAAATAAAAGTGGTTTACATAAATAAAAGTGATTTACAAAAAGAAGCAATTAACACTGCGTCAATAAAAAAGGAGGATAAACACTGAGTAAAAGGATACACTTGATGACATGTCAATATCCATTAATGTAAATTAGTAAAAATCGTACTTTCAAGCTCGTAAATTCAAGAACCGGAGGCACAGCTTCTCAGGTGAGAGAAAGAAGCATACCAGATCTATTTATTACCTTATATTGCTTTTCCTCCCCAAAAATTTGCACCAATGTGTATAGTTCTTGAAGAACTTTCTCATTAATTCATCCAATGGGTTATCTCCTAACTTTATGAAGAAAAGTAACAAGCAGAGTGATCAAAAGATAAACTAAATTGAACAAAGTACTTCCTAATATTTTTTAAACTAAAGTGAAAAGTACCTTTGAGCTAGATGTCTGCTTATTTGTAAGTCGAGCTTGCATGTTAGCAAGGAGTAGAAGCAAATGCTCCCTCTGGTTGGCCACATTATCTCTCTGATGGAAAAACCAGCATCAATATATTATCAAGAAATTTATGAATAGTTGAAAGTAGAAACAGAGACTGTGAGACAACTAGAATTACCAGTTTTGCTTCTCATGTTTGCCAAAAGTTAAGTTAAAAGAATGTAGTTGTATATATCACTCGGCAACATATTTAAGAAAACCGCCCACAGAGAGAGAGAGAGAGAGAGAGAGAGATGGATTAGGAGTTGATGACCTGAAAGCCAAAGCTCCACTGAAGAAAATCAAACAAATCTGTAAAGGGCCCATTTTTTTGAAAATCTTGGGCTGAAGGTAAACCACGAACATTGGAAATTGCCGCAACTGCAGCTTTAATCTGTGTAATAATATATTCGTTAGTTATCATAAACTTTATTGCATATCAAGGATGTAGCAGCACCACGTCATGCAATTTCAAGATCTTGTCTCATTAACTGGGCTGAACGATCGATCTTTAGATGGAAACAATAATAAATAAACTTATTCATGCAAAAACACACCTCGGGTAGCTGCATAATGGGTTGCTGAATGCTCCTATGGTCAAGTGGTAGAATGTTGTAGGGTACATAGAATGTCTTCAAATGGGCATCGTCTCTTTCAGAAAGTGCCTGCAGTGTGAGAAACACAATGAAATTGGAACGAATAAAAAAGGACTTTTTAATCACTCAAATTACGTGCGAGGAAACGATGTATCACCTGAGGAGCAGCTGCAGTTGTGAGGGTCTTCAAGACTTCATACAATACAGAGGCGGTTCTGCGTGCATTTATCAACTTCTCTCTATGACTGGTTCACATAAAATTAGCGGTGTTAACTTGACCTTGTAGGCGTATATTCCTGAGATACAAACTTCTTTACCTGTTATCAAAATCAAACGCCCCACCATGTTTTATTATGAAATCCTTGTATGTATGATAAACTCGCCTAAGTTCGCGAGCATCACTTTTTTCCTTCCTTTTCTGAATTGTAACTTCTTCGTCCTACAAAGTGCAAATGTTAAAACAAGATAAGTAAGTTCAGATTTAGGGATATTTGAATCGAAACTCAAATGGACTTCTGTTTACCACACCTGATTGTATGTTTCTGTTATGAAAAAAAATTGACAGATAAATAACCATATAAAATACATCTACTGAAACATGTAATGCAAGATAAACATAAGAAGAAATGGACTTCTCTTCCCTACAAGTTTTAGCCAGTTTCTGTCATGAGAAAACTCAACAAATAATGTCCAGTATAGGTAGTCCTGCGGTCAATGGCTCTGTTCCTCTCTGGCTCTTTGCTTACAATTCATAACAACGTCAATATATCTCAACAGAATGTAACTTCTATCGAAGACAGCGAAATTATTTCAGCTTCGGTCATCTTGTGCTAAATTGGCAATAGCTAAATACAATATGTTAAGAGTGCAACCAAAGTAGCACGGAAACTGCAACCTACAGAGCTTAAATGTCTGTACATGTGACTTTGGTGTCATTAACTACCTGCTCAAGTCGTTGTAGAAGAGCGGTTTTAAGTTGCCGAACTCCCCGCCCATTTGAATTTCGATCGAGGTTATGAGCTATCACAAATGCATGAAAGCGACCTAATGAAAAAAAGAAACCCTTTGTCAAAGAGATGTGCTGAACTACGAACAATAGTGTAAGTCAAACGTGAAGAGTGCTCGTGGAACAATAATTTAAAGTAATGAAAGAAGATACTACACAATTCACGGTGCCTGAGTTAAAATCCACTTCAACTTCTTGATTGAAACTCATCACTCCGTGTAATGTAACATATAATTCACTAAACGCCCTTAATTCGAGTATTAAAAAAAATGTCAGAATATTCCTTCATTCTGAATCTTTCGTAACAACGAATCCCTGGAACCTGGCGCAAAATTCAACCAAGAATCTCGAAAAGGAAAAACTAATTCGGAAACGAAAAAGGGCGGGGAATATTCCTCCATGTTCTTATTGGAAAAATGAATGATCGGCATTTTCCAGGACATAACTTTTTGTACAAGACAAGAATTCCTGAATCCTGATAGCTAGTAATTAGACCGAATATTTTCTTTCAGTGGAAAACCCACTCACCGCCAATACAAAAGAAAAGAGAAAACGCAACGACTTACAAAGATAAGCAATCCGAGGCTCCTCTCTCTCAATCGAATTCGCCACTCGAAGAAACCTCTGAATCTCAGAAGCCAGGGAGACGGGCAATCTCTCACTCTCGAATGGCTCAGGATTATAATCCATCCCACGAGTGTTGCTTCCACTTCCGCTTCCGCTTGCAATTGACCTAGTGATGGAGGTGGCATGCGCTGGTTCAGCTTCAATAATGGGCTCGGAGACCACGATCTCTCCAGCCATGGTTGCGAAGCGAGATGGGTCAGGAATGGAAGAGTGCTGCAAGACGCGGAAACAGAGTATATATGTTGCACAATCTTCTTCTTGTTGTTCTTCCCCATTTTGCTTAATGAGGTGAACATTGGAAGTCTTGGTTTGCTTTTTGGAAATGGCGCTTTACTGGGTGTCTGTGACGAACAAACAAAAAAAAAAAAGAAAGAAAGAAAAGAAAAAGTTGGGTCTGAAACTTTTTCGCTTTTGCTTTTGGAGAGAGTTTTCTGTGGGATTCAACTTTGATTTCTTCTCTCTTTTTCTCTGCGTCGTCTCTGAGCTCGGGACTGTAGAGTACAGGTTCTTCAGCGCGTTTGGAAAGCGGTTATGCGCGGGCTTTTTACTGCTATTAAACAATTTAGTGGGACGAGCATATTGCAAATTAGTCCCTCAACTTCAACGAACTTTCAATCCCAAACTTTCTATTGGTATTTTTGGGTAACGTTACTGTTGTTTTTTCCTTTTTTTTTTAGTTTTTTAGTAAATAAAAATATAGTTTTTTTAGTACCATAGGTAAGGATGGGAAATCGAACTCGTAGCATCTTGGTTGGAAATTATGTGGCTTTAACATAGAAAGTAAATAAATAAAAATATAGTTTATTTGGTAACTATTTCATTTGCCTTTGATAATATAATTGCATCAAATAAATATGTTTATAAAAATACCATTACTTTTTTTTTAATGTCATCAAAAGTAGTTTTTGATTTATATATAATTTTTGTAATTCTCTCCCAAATACATTATCATCGTGAAAATTTTTAATTATTGTGGATTAATCTCTAACCTTTCACTTATTTGGTTAAAAAATCTTTTACTTATAATTTCACTTTAATTATTAATTATTTTATAAATAATACTCATTCGAGAAATAAAATACATATTACTTTTTTTTAATATTGAATATTCATCTTTTACCTTATGCCTATTAATTAAAAAAATTGCAAAACTATCCATGAAATTATAACAATCTTTTATTTCAATAATTTGATTATAATAGTCATTATGGTTTAAGGTTGGAATTGTGTGTATATTTTGCAATATCTAAAATTTTAATTGCAACAATTTTTTAAGTTTGTATGAAATTTAGATCTCTATAGCATTGTCGTACCGTACTAAAGAAATGTGTAGTTTTTGCAATTTCGGTTTTGTTTTCCCCTCTCGAGTTCCCAAACTTTTGGTGGTTGGGCTAAAATTCCCTGTTTTTACCTTTCGCAGTGCCCAAAAATCAATCAATTTCACCGTCCAAAAAGATTTTTTTTTTTTTTTTGCACAACACAAATAAAAGACAGTTTATTAACTCCCACCTCCCGTGAAGAAAAAACAAAATTTACCATTGTTAACCTCAAGATATATATTTCAGATTACATTTAAATATCCACCCCAAATAGTAATAATAACAGTAAAGCTTTTTTGGTTCCTTTAAAACAGAGTATTTACGACTTTTCTTGGAGTGGAATATTATCAAAATAAGTTGATCATGGATTGTCAATCAACTTGGAATYGATTCTTCTCAGGTGGATGTTCAAACGATTAATGGAGACAAATAGTAAATTCGTTGGCACTATGTCCTCAACCACAATATTGTAGGTAATCTTCATTTGTTGCTTTAAAATATTGCTATAGGCCAAATGGAGCATAACTCAACAGACATATATCTCAAGCAAGAGGTTATGGATTCGATCCCCCACCCGTTAAAATTACTTCTAAAAATAATATTCGTAATATTTCTACATCAGATTTAATCTTGTTTTGATTTTTTGACTATTAGAATTATCGGGATTATTTTACTTTGATCTCTAAACTTTCAAGATATCTATTTTAGTCGGGGAGTTTTTAGACTTATTTCATCTCTATACTTTCGAAGTATTTAGATTATACACTTGAAAAAAATAAAATTTATCTTATTCCAATGTCATCAATTATTTAACATACAATTAATGATACTTTAAATATGCATAGTGAGGCAACATAGATTGGCTAAGAGGATAGTAGAGCTACAATTTTATTCCGCGGCTAAAATAAACATTTAAAAATTTTAAAGTTAAAATTAATATTCTTTTATCCTTTTTATTTTTGTTCATTTTAACTTAGAAGGTTAATTTTAGTTTCTTTATTTTCAATTTTATCATAGGTAATTTTAGAGATAGAATTGTTATTTTTAATACAACATGATGAACATTCGAATTCACAACTTTTGATCGGAGATAAAGTACTTTAACCAGAATTATGGTCAGGTTTACGCAATATTGTTAGGTGGAATTAAAATAATAATAATAAAGAAAAATAAAATATAAAATATAAAAGATGATTGGCTGGCAATGGCACGTGCCTTTGTTCTTTTTACCACTCTTAGTGCGCATTACTTTAAACATTACTTTTAAAAGGCCACCAAAATGCCATATAATTGGGACAATCATAGACTTGAATATCCAATTCCTAATAAAAAAGTTACCTTTTTTTTCCCTCTGTATTTTAGCATTTTCTTCCACGCTAAGAATTTTATATGGGCCCCCAACTTTACAAATATGAAATTAAAACAATACTTTTTCCATGCACAACTTATTTTCTTTATCTTTTTCTCAAAAAAAAAAAAACACTTATTTTCTTATCGTAACCTTTTCTTTTAGTTTCCTTTCCTAAGAAGACCAAACCCCATCATTTATTTTCTAGAGATATAAGTAGGACCAAGCAATTTGAAAAACCTATAAGGAATATTTTATAGATGAATACGTTAAAAAAGAAAAATTGAATACATCATTGAAGAAATGAGAATAATAATAAAATAGAGGAGTGAGAGTAGTACGAAGAAGAATGTACACGTTTATTAGATAGTTTATGATTTAAAGTGGTTTTTCAAGGGTGAATATTTTTATTTGACTTTTTTGTTTGGATGGGGTAAATAAATTTTTAAAATTCTAATAGSAGTGGGTGTCATTTAATAATTTTTTGGTTTTTGATTGTTGGTATTTGAAAATTAAGCTTAAAAACRTTACTTTGTGTTAGCCTTTAAGAACATTTTAGGCAAAAAAAAAAAACAGAAAAATTGTTTCCGACTAAAATTTCAAATATGTTTTCAAATATTTAAATTTTCAAATACGAAAAAATTACSAATGAAATCGTTAAATACAAGTCTAATTTAGGAGAAAATAAAGTAAAAAATGGAATAAGCACCTTAATTATTAAAAGAAAATGCTAGACGGTTAAAAAAATATTTTAATATACCACTATTACATAAGAAATTTGGTTGAWTTTTTTCTGAATCGGTGGGTGAATCTCTCACATTTTTATAAGAATTTGTCACTTATATAAATATGAATATTTAAAGGGATTTGTACATTAGTATTTAGTAGACTTGGAGATACTAATTACAGGAAAGATTCAGAATTAAAAAAGAATCGGAATATTCTCGAGTTGTTAACAGGCCCATTGGAGCCCATATAAGACATGGGCTTGGCCTGCTAGAATTTCCAGGTTTTAAAAATAATTTTCTTTTTTAATCTAATATCGGGGCCATTTTTTATTTTCGTTACACACATATATATAGTCAAATATCGCGCGCCTGCTTCACGATTTACTCCCGCGGTCTTTCTCCAAGTCCAGTACAGTACCATCTCCTCCGCGTTTCTCTTCCACAGCACCCGCCATGGGAGTGCGAAGATCCTTTGCGCCTTGATCATCCATGTCCATCTCGAAATCGTAGAATCGCAATCTACTGTAATCTTCGACCGATGAGGATGATGCTTCGCTATTTGCGAGCGGATCAAGGCCGTCGACTGAGATTATTTCTGCTTCGAGTGATTTGGTCTTGCTGGTGAGTCTCTCCGGATCGGAGCATTCTTCCTTCAGATTATTATCCATGATAGACTCTATGAAGGCTTTTAAGTCGTCTGTGCTCTTGATGGAACTCGAGTCCTCGTTCTCGTTCACGGATTGAGACATTTCTGTTGAAGAAATTAGGGCTTCGAAGATGGAATGGCGAAGAGATGAGCGAAGGAGGACGATTTAAAGGCAAGTTCGATTTTATTATCTAGCTGCGATTACGAGATATGAATCGGTAATTAATGGAATAGATTCGGATCCTTTTTTCTATCTTTTCGAAATTAATGACCGATTAAGAACTATGTATGCATGTTTGCATTATGCATTGAAGTTGATTAATGATTCTGAAGGACTCCTGTGTCCAAGTTTATCTTCATARCTTCTTTTCGTATATTCTTTACACTTTTACTTCTGTAAAGTATATTTGTTGGTCTGATTAGAAAAAAAGAATGTGAAGGTCTCAATAGTATTTCCATTCCACAGTCGCAAACCCTAAAATTTCGTTATTGTTTTAGAAGATGTGCGATTTCACAATTGCAATTTACAATATAATCAGATGCAGGCGATGATGTTATCACTTATGACGAGTTCCAGATTCAGAATTGAAAGCAAATGCACGATGACATAGCAGAGATTGAATGTGGAACAAATATGGAGCCATCTAATAACAATAGCCAACCAAAGTCTCASGCAGCTTTCTGATTGCTAGGTACCATTTGTTTGTACTTTTTGAATGATCTTATAATGAAGTGGTAGAATGGCATGCACTTTCTTCTTGACCCTATTTTTTTAATACAAAACATGGGTGGAATTCGAACTTACGACCTCTTAGTCGAAGATAGGTGTCAATTATCGTTGAGTTAAGCTTATGTTGCTTTCCTTGACACTRTTAGGCGATGTGAAAACAAGAATTCTGTCGTGGTTTAGCTGCCTRCAATATCCGAACTTTGAGGGATAAAGAGCATAACATCTTTGACTTTCCTTACTACCCGTGCTTGTATGATYGATAGACGGAGAAATTTTGTGAATGACGAGACTGGCTTAATGGTATGCCCGTCTCGAACAAGGGATCTCACTTGGAGATTGCATCTAAAAGCGTTTGAGATGAGCATCTTAAAGGAGATTCTCATATTGATATTATTYATGGAATTTCTTTAATCGTTGAGTGCTCTCTTCGTTCCTATGGAATTTTTGGGTTCTAGGCAGGTAACCGAAACTATACATATGTTTTTTTTAGTACAATAAGTGGGGTAGGGAATTCAAATTCACGATCTCTTAGTTAGAGATAGGTGTCAATTATCGTTGAGCTTAACAAAAACTATATATAATTTAAGTTAGATTACAAAAATTACTACTCATTTCTAATGTTTCTATACCAATCTTCATCTTTCGTAAAGGTTTCAAAATACAATTTGAATAGTATTTTGAACATAAAGAATTAATGACGTGACAATTAATGTGGCTGTTTATTGGCAATAAAAATTTATATCGTTAATTTTGTTCTAAAAGTTTTCCTACATTGTTAATCAAATTTGGTTCTCCATTGTCAACTAAATTTTACCATTTTAAAAATAATATCTTCCTCTATATTTCCTCTCATTCCAAATTTAATCTAAAAAAACTTCAAATTTTCTCACGTCGATTTTTTGTTAAAATATTAATGAAGGTTTACTCAATAATAGTTTTGAAACCTTTATAAAAGGTCAAGAGTAGTAAAATAAATTAGGGTTCTCAACAGCACCCCTTCTCTTTTCTATCTCTCTCCATCTCCCTCCACAACCCAGCCCCCTTGCAGCTCAATTTTCATGGGGGCTCGGATTTTGCAGCACTCAATTGGCATCGGACCTCCATTCTCAAGTTGGATTCCAGTTCGAGTAAGTTATCTAAATTCTTATTCAAAACTTGTACATGTTTTGTCTTCGGAAAATACATATATTAACCTTTGAACTATGAGGCAGTTGATTAATTTTCAATTTGAACCATCCTTAGAAACTAACAAAAATTTGGTGTGAAAATCAATTTTCTAAAAATCAAATAAACATAATGTCAATTATTTAATTACGAAAAAAAAATTAAAATGTGTTTATATCAATTTTTGTAAATTTACAGGGTGATTGAGAAAATATCTCATAATTTAGTTTACAACAAATATAAATGAAACGTAGTTCGATGGTGGACTAAAAAAAGTTAAAACATCTTTATTTTATTCAAGAGACATGAATTCGAATTTGCATGATTATTTATAATATTAATAATTAAATTAATAAATAATAATTCAGAATTATAAAAAAAGAACATAGATGGTTGAGATTATTAAAAAAAAATCATAGTCTGTTAGGTGGGGTTGAGTTTGAAATTGAATAACCTAAAATTTACCATAAATAACACTTTGACTTACCAGAAATTTACCTTTAAATTATTTTTTATCTACCTGAAAATTCAATATATATATGAAAAAACCTAAAAAAATATTGAATTCATTGCCACGCTGAAAAAAGTGTC